GGGTAAAATTGTAGTTGACTTAAAACAGTGGATACCACGGCCTGCCGTGAGCTATTGCTTAAATATACGATGTGTGACGGGGTTCTATTTGTCCGTTTGAAACATAGGCTTAGTCGGTTGATTTAAGCTCCAAAACTTTATTTATAACAGCAAAAAAAATATATACCGTTTGTTAAAAGTGAAACAGTATAACTTCAATAACCAAAATCAAAGTTACCAAATAGGGTTGTCTATCACTCATGGAGTAAACACATTCTAGCTGTTGCCTTCACTGCAACAATCTCCCGAACACATTATCCTCCCCGAGGTTGGCGATGTGCGGCAGCCTGGAAAGGTAATCAGCCACTACATTCGATTTGCCAGATCGGTGACAGATAATGAATTTGAACAGTTGGAGTGAGAGGTACCAATGGGTAAGACGGCTATTGTGATCTTTCATGGCCCCTTAGTGCCACCCTCACACAGACTACTATCTAAGTCTGGGAGTGGTTGGACTCCAGCTTTCGCTTGGGCCAGAAACATTAACATTCCCATTTCCCCCAGAGTCACTTTTCACAGAGAGTTCTTTTTCATGCAGCAAATCCAAGAGTATTGGTAAATCCCATCCCAGGATTGCATCAACCGGCAAGTTCTGTACCACCCACACACTCAACAAGTACGATTGTCCATCAATGATCACCGATACGTCCACTTTGGGATAAGGATGCTTATCCCCGTGAGCACACAAAATGTCTGTTTGTCTGCTGTAGTCCATAGCTCCAATTGGCACAAGACTTTGCTTCACTAGAGACATGAAGCTACCAGTATCCAACAAAGTAGTGACCTGCTGGCCATTAACAGTGACAGCTTTATGACGTTGAACACGTTCCTCTTGATCCCCAATGGGCCCCAACTCTGCCCGGGGTGCATAGCATGCGCCTGTGACCTTAGCTTTGCGTAGGGGGCACACAGAAGCTATGTGGCCTGGCTGCTGGCAGTAATAGCAAATTAAATCCTTACCAGCTCCTTATTGGTTTGGGGCAGTGCTAGGATATCCTGAGAACTCTGGTCGATTCTCTCTCTTTGCCGGCCTGGGCTGGTGTGCTGGTTGGTGTGTAAAAGTGGTTGAGCGTGCGGGTGGTCCTCCTCTGCGGGCGTTGATGTACTGGAGCGCCAGCTTGGCAGCCGCAAGACCCTCTGTAGGCTCATGCTCCTTCACCCAGGCCCTCACCTCCGGTGGGAGTATCCGAAGCATCTGCTCCAAGATGATGGCCTCTGCAATTTCCTCCTTGGTGTGCTGCTCTGGCTGAATCCAGCGCCGGTAGAGACCTTTAAGGCGATGGTAGGTCTCGATGGGGCTCTCTTCAGACGGTACCACCATGGACCGGAATGCTGCCGATACGTCTCTGGGGAGATGTCGAACTTTGTCAGCAACGCTTCTCTCAGGTCTCTATAGCAGTGGGCTCTCTCCTCGTCCATTGCAGTACAGGCCTCCAATGCCTTCCCTGATAGCAGTGGAACGAGCCGGCATGCCCACTCCCTTTCTGGCCACCTCCACATTTTGGCAATGTGCTCAAACCGCAATAAATAGTTCTCAATGTCCTCACCGCACTGGTATGGTGGGATGTTCGGCTCTGCATAATGCCTCTACTCAGGCGTTGGCTGATCAGGCTGGCTATCGGCGTCTGATTGAGGCAACGGATTATCAACTGGAACAGAAGTCTGTAGGTCTCGGAGCTCTGCCAACAGGAACTCCTCTCGCCTTTGCTGCCCTGATAGAAAGTCTTTCATCAGTGAGAGTAGTTCTCCCCCTGGTTCACTGGTTGACCCTGAGACCATAGGAGCTGCTGGGGGCACCCCAGGACCTGTCTTCATCATCGTCCTCCGTCTCCAATGGAGACCCCCGCTCTGATTTGGAAGCCGCGTTCTCCTCCTGCTGCCGACGCTGGGAAAGCAGTCCTGTGCGCTGCTTCACAACGCGGCCCAGCCCTTTCCGACTAGCCATCCCACTTCTGACAACATATGTGACGAGGTTCTATTTGTCCATTCGATACATAGGCTTAGTCGGTTGTTTAAGCTCCAAAAAACTTTATTTATAACAGCCACAAAAAATATATATACTGTTCGACAAAAGGGAAACAGTCGGGAAACCCCCTAAAGGCGCATAGCGTGCCGTAAAATGCTGCTTCTTATCTGAAGTTTCGTTGCCTTGCTCCGCTCCGGGGGCTGTGAATGGTGATGAGAAGCTGGTTTAAGGGGCCCTCAGTGAATGTTTGCCTAGGGCCCCCACAGACTCTAGAGTCGGCACTGAGCACAGTCACTATATTTTGGCTAAAATGGGAACGTACGCAACAATCCCAGGCAAAGTGCTCCATCTAAAGTATTTAACATCTTCTATTATATGTCAAGTTTACAGTCCTTGGTCCTTTGTCCCCTGCAATACTGACTAGTCACAAGGTCAGCGGCAGCAAAGTGTACATGTAAAAAAACAAAACATTTTTGGAACAAATATGTGGCCAAGATATCAGCCTTGCAGGAAATAATCTAACTTGGAAATCAGGTTTTTTCAATCCTCCACCCATGAAACCTTAGTTTCTTTTTCACTTGGTACTGAGCAATCTAGAACCCGTTGACTTGCTGGTGACAGTAATAGTTTGCAGGACAGTACCCGCCCATCATCGGGACAATCAGGATCAGTCACATCTATATGTCAGATATGCAGATCTGGATACACAGCACGGAGCTAACAGGTGCAGCTCTTTGAGATGATTATGAAACAGACCTGGAATCAGAAAGGCAGCCATATATTGTTTCAATTAGAGGGGACCGTTTGGCATATGGCTTCCTTTCTCCAATCTGTGTTCACAATTAGAGGGGACAATGTAAAACAGATTAAAGGCCTTTTGAGTAGAAACACAGTCACCTGGGAGTCCTGTCATTAAAACTCAGACAGGCCTGTTTCCCATCAACAACCATGTTCTTTTCAGGAGTACTGTGGGGGTTCAATCCCAGCCTCAGAAAGTGAGTCAGGTGTTGAAGCAAATTTGACTATTGGCCAAACGGCGGCACAACACTTCTGTGTCAGTTTGTGACATCATTGGGCAAAAAAAGTATGATCCACTGAGCAACTTTGATATCAATGAACAAGGCCCTGCCTTTTCTCTTTATACATCCATAGTCAGGGTTGGGTTGTAACGGAATGTAACAACGTTACATAATCAGAATACAAAAAACAAGTAACTGTATTCTCTGGAAGCCTGTTTGCGTCACAGGAAAAGAAGAAAAGAAAATCCTGTAAGTCAATATATTGACTTACCATCTAGCTATCTCAATATATTGAGTTATATATTTTTTTTTTATTGAAACAATTATGTAATATACAGAATAAGGCACATATACATCAATGTTCATCATATAAGC